AGCTGATGAGCTGGATCAAGTGGGTCTTTAGAACTTCCTGTATTTACAAAGATATTTGTGAAGTATTTTATCATGGCATCAAACATCGTCTTTCCTCCTCATGTAGGTCACAGGCTCCGGTGGCAGCTGTGTTCGCAGGCAGTCCACAGCTGCTGGGAGCAGTGAAGTTGTGTTCGGGTTCAGCTGTAACTAGTTTACCTCTTTATTCAGACATCAACCTGCTGAAGAGGACTGAAGATGTGAGTTATCATTGACAACATATCTGTTACCTCAACAGTGCTGCTGTCAAGAAGATACTTGTGTCTTATAATCAGCTATAAAAATGCCTGTTAGTCATATTGGTTAAAGTGCTGAATGTGAATTTTAGTCCAAACAGAGACTGGTGTTCCACATGTTTTATCCTGTCACATTTTTTTATTTTTGGGTCTTTAAAATGTAAAGCACCTTAAACTGACTGTTTCTGTGATTTGGCGCAACACAAATAATATTGAAATGAAATTAACTGAAGTTTAACAGAAAATAAAAGGAGGTAATCTTTCCTTTCCCAGACGTACCAGGTGTACGCAATGAGATCTGCAGAGGACATCTACAAGCTCCTGACCGCCCAAAAAACGAACTATGTGATCATCGAAGAGTCGATTTGTAATGAGCTCACTCTTAATAAGGGCTGTAGGATCAAAGACCTGCTCGACATCTCCAACGGACATGTGAGTTTAAACCCTTTCCTCCGTTATAGATTTCTTACAGATTGGACAATTTTGAGTGGATATCAGTAATATGGTCCTCTTGGGTACACACAGCTACTGATTAGATCTTTTGAGGATGGTTGACCTTAAAGGAAAAGGAGCTAAAATAGCGTGTTTCAGACAGTGGCTACACTAAGAACCCAGAATATGATCAATAAAGATTATTTTTAACTTTAAATCATGCATAGCTACTCTAGCGGGAGTCCAAGAATAAATAATTTTCTGCTACTACTTTATTATTAGTATTGCTCATCCAATCATCTAGCCATAATCAAGACATTAGTTGCAGAATATTTTGCAAACTCTACAGAATTCGAGTCTTTTATACTTTCACTCATGATCTGTATGTTTGTCTCTTGCAGATTGTCTATGACAAAGGCGAGATATACTCCTTCTCCAAATATGGACGATTCTGCCACGAGATAAAGATGAACTACTCGCCCTACACAAACTACTTCACACGAGTTTTCTGGAACCGCTCGTACCACGTCTACAAAGTGAACTCTGTCATCTCCTTTCAGTACTGACGGCCAAGCGTGGCTCTGCCCCTCCTCAGGTGTTCCTGATCGTATCCACAGATCGGCACACCGGGGCGAAAAAAACTCTGATTATCATGGTGTCAGTGGGGAAGCTGCACATTCAAACAGTGAGGCTCAGCTGAGCACACTGCACCGGCCAAACAACACGTATGAACGGCCATATTATTAATCACTGTACTGTAGTTTTACAAGCCATGTGTTACTGTTAATGTTACTGTGAATGGTTTTAATGAAGGTGTGAGTCGCAGAGATCAGTGTAGGCTGAGAAGGGGAAAGTGTTTGCCATGAAATGAAGCAGCCAGAGGTTTAATCCTGTTCACTGATTGGCCCTTTTGTGCTGACAGTGATTGGCTAGGATGCATCACTTTTATTAAGTTTATTTTTTTAAACACCTGCAAAACTGTAGACCTTTGAATCAACATCAGTTAGGCTGCTGATTAACAAAATTATGGCATTAGCATTTAGCTCAAACCAGAGCTCCACAGACACTCCAGTGTGGCTCTTGACCCTTTTTGGAGGGGTTTAAACTCCTTTTCTTGGGGACAAATCTTTATGCATTTAATTTGATTTTTGTCTTAAATGTTTTGCTTTTCTGTTCCGTTCGTGTCTTATAATCACGCTACTGTTGTCTACTTAAAGAGAAATGGGTGTCTTCTGTCTAAATTATGAATTTCATGTATTATACTAGCATAATTGGATCATTTTTGTCTTGATTTAAAGGAAATAATTAGACTGTTGAATCACTGAGCTAATAATCATAATCAGCAATCAAGTATTTCAAAATGAAAGTGCTTTATAACAGGATAACACATAAGATTAGTCAGAATAGTTTTTCGCTTGATTATGTCATTTTAAGGTTACCAAAAAACCAAATAGTGACAAGCATACATGCTCTTGTTTTCTGTCACGCTCTGCCTTTGTTTGCTCATGAAATACTCATGCAGTGCATGTGTACTCGCTGTTCTTTGAAGGGTTGTTGCTGCTTTGGTCGGCTTTTGTGGGAAAGGCGTCTCTCTGTACTGTTTGCTGCTTGTTGTGTGCTCTGATCTGTTAAAGGGAAGTGGAAGAAGACTGTCCAGAAAAGTGTTATCAGTTTTTGTGACTGCTGCCTGAAATCTACTGAAAATAACTGATATCTGAAGTAGGCATGTCTCTACACACACATTTATATGTCTGAACTCACTGGTTGCTCCTATTGTGCTCTGCTTTTTTTTTTATTTCTTTGACATGAGATGGTTGTATTCATGGTCTATATAAAAAGGGTTGACTGAACTATCCAGGACTTGCACAACCTTCTGCAATCTTCTAAACTGAGCTCTTTCAGCATGTTAAGGTGGTGGAGGCTGGTCCTGGATGCCTTATGTAAAGACATGGCTGCTCCTATGTCTGTATCCATCACTTCCAGGCACGACTGATAATTTCCTATCTCCGAGCTGTTACTTTAGGGTTTTGGTGATGAATTCCTCTCGGTGCTGTCATACAGATAACAAGGTGGCCGTGTGGTGAGTGTGTGAGGTGAATAAATATAACACTGAGCTCTTCTTGTGTGGTTCTTTTAACATTATCTGATTTTTCATTTTTAATCCATCAGTAACAGCTTTCCTGTCCTCATTACATTCATACTCATGCAGGATCTGACTATTTTCAGAGGAAGGTTTTATTTGTAAAGCATTAAAAAGATATCTGCCTCAATCAATCAATCAAAATTTATTTATATAGCACATTTAAAAACAACAGTTTTGATCAAAGTGCTTCACAAATTTAAAAAATGAAAATAAATAAATAAATAAAATAAGACAAATACAACGCAAGACGAGACAAACATAGAAACCAACTAAATGATAATCAAACTATCTTACATCAAAGCCAGAGTAAGTAGTGGTTCAATGGATGAACCACTACTGTCTATAGGCAGTGTAGCAAAAAGTTTTCTGTTGTATATTTTGGCACTTACTTTACTGGCAGTCTGTCACAAAAACACATAATTTGTGAAAAATCTTATTTGCTTAATCTGTGAAAAAACCTACAATAACACAGTTTGACAGAAATAAATTATATTTTTACACCAACAAATATATTCCTAAAGAGCTATTAGCCAAAAAGTTGGATATATTTTGTCTTGGCGTGCAGTGTTTTTAAAACGGTATCTAAAAATCATCTCTTTAAGAAACAACAAAAAATCCAGCAAAGATCTTGTGATGTAAAGAACCCACGGTGCACAGCTTTGCAGGCACTTGGATGTTTATTTTTAATGTTTCCGGTGATTCCGGTTAGGCCACATTACAGCTGCCTGTCTCCACTGAAGAGCACCGAACTCTCCTGTCAGGTCCTGGCATCCTACTCAGATAGGAAAGGCATGAGTTATACTATAGAGATTAGCTGTGTTGATCAGCTTTCCCATGACACCACATCCTGACAACACTGCTCTACCCCTCCACTGCAGTCGAACCACAAACCACACCTTCAGCTCATCCACTTACTGTCCAGTGAAGCCTCATCAGAAATGGTCTTAGTGGAAGAGTTTGTATCAAGAAGCTGTTCTTAAAGATGATGTGGCTGAGGCATGCCAAATTACACAAGAGCTTACATAGAAAAACACTGTAGAGCCCTATCAGTCATGGATTGGCCTCCTCAGAGCCCAGAGCCTGGACCTCTTACTGACAGAGTGAGGGATCACCTTGACAAAGAACAGAAAAAAAGGCATCCAACATCCAAAGGTGAGCTTTGAATGTTTCAAGATGCCTAAAGAACTATTCCTTAGAAATATTTTTAAAAATTACAAGAAAGCTTTCCCAAAAGAGTTCAGAATGCATAGAAGAGTAAAGGTGGTATGTCTGTAAAGGTGGTCATACCAAATAATGACTTTTAAGATTTTTACAAACTCTGTTTTTGCTTTATAAACTTTTTAATGTATGTTTGTGCAACTGTGTGTGTGTGAGATAAAGGATTTTGGAGATGGAGCTGTCAAGCAGGAGACCACAGAGAAGACTCATGAATGCAAGATGATAACTGCAGGCAATTTTTACATTATAAAAATCAGTTTGTAGTAATTTCAGTCTTTTATTTTCATTGTCATTAACTGCCAAAATTGCAATAAGCATAATGCTGCATTCATGGCCTATCGGTAGAATGGAAAACAAGACGATTAAGCGCATTCTGCTTTATTTTGTGCTCTTGCTCGCTTTTTATTTCACATTTATCTAAGGTTACCTTAAGGTTAGCTATGGTTAACGTCTTACGCAGTCTCATAGTTGCACTATAAACTGCCTAAATGACCAAATTTTCGCATTATGTGTTTATAGTTTGGTTTACAAGTGAAAGTAAATCCCGACAAACATTTTAAATGATCGAATTAAATTTATAGTATAGGTGTTATTTTTCTTTTCTATTTCTAAATTCACTGTCAGACGTTTTAACGTCCGTGCAAATAACTCGTCCGACACTAAAGTTTTATACGAATTGAACCAATGGGACTTGAACGCGGCATAAGTATGCGCAATCATGGCGCATTTTTGTGTCTCCTTGGCGACGAAGCGGAACCGGAATTACGAAGGAGATATGGCGCAGGGCACAATGAATTATGAGAGAATCAGTTAGTGTAGCTGGTCCAGCTCCTAATTTTGACATTTTGGTGAAAATTTTGTCCTTCTGTCTTCTGAACAATCACTGTGCCCCGTTAAGGTAAGACAGTTGGTCCCTACATGCGCGGGACAACCGCCAAAATCTAGACGGCTAGCCGGAATATTAGCCAAAAGACTCCTGGCTCCAAACATAACACAGAATAGGAAGGTGGAGTGCGTTTGGTTTGTTTACAGTGGCAGCCCGAAACATCATCTGTAAGCGTGCATTCTTGTAGATTCAATAGGTAAATTTGATGTCCCCGCCCAGTTAGGACGCCCCGTGACAATTATTAGAGCTCTCTAAACAACTACTGAAAATTATAGTGTTAGCTGCTCTGACAGGTGAAGCTATCTAACCTATTATGGAAGTAAATATCTAATAATAGTTACAATTATTTTGAAACTATAAATATTTATGTTCACAAAATATGAAATTTTATATATATTTACCATCTCCAAGATTTTTAACGAGTGAAAGTAACATTACACGATTGGAAATATACTAATTTCAAAGAGTGAAACGTAATTACAGAGTTTTTATTTAAGTATCAAAGGTTGAATGTACATCAAAAGGCCCTAACTGTCTAATATTACAAATACAGTCATGTGGAAAAGAAAGAAAAACTAAGTGCAACATATGATTCAGTAGTGTTTGGAAGTTTTAGCAGCAGTAACTTGATGCCATGTTTTTTTTTTTTATTACTTTCTGATGCTCTTCATGGAGCTGCTGAAGGAGGAAGAGAGGAAGGTCCTGGTGGAGCAGATTATCTTTGCCTGGTTCTGGTTGGTTTAAAGCTAAAAGAACAAATGATCATTTCATTTTTCCTGACAAAAATCCCCAAGAGAAGGTAGTACTGTTAACCTTACAGTCACCTGTTTATACACCAGTTCTCCTTAAGATGAGTGAACTAATCTAGTGTATAAATATAATAGAAATAAAAATAAATACATGATGTGGTTTTTACTTACAAAGAACTTACATTAAAAACCCCAAACACTTTATATTTAACCTTAAGATCCATTCTAAATAAAGCTGATGTTCATATCTGCATATCTGCCCACTAGACGAGGATGAGTGCAGAAGCAGCAGACCGTGTGGCCGCTGTGACCAGCAGTCGGCCTGGCACGCCTCTTCAGACTTCCTGGTTTGAGTTTCTCCTCGACGACAGCCTGCTGGAGAAACACTTGCAGAAATCAAACCCAGGTTTGTTCAGCCTTACTCGTGAGTCCATCGTTTGTTAATAATGACATCTCATGGACTTGTAAAGGCTTGTTAATAACTGTTCTTTCTGCAGACCCAGCACCAGTGCAGCTCATCATCCAGTTCCTGGAGCAGGCGTCGAAGCCATCAGTGAATGAGCAGAATCAGGTCCAGCCTCCAGCCGACAACCGTCGGAACCGCACATTGAAGCTGCTTGCACTGAAAGTAGCTGCTCACATGAAATGGGATCTTGAGGTGCTTGAGAAAGGGTGAGTCAGAGTGTTTTAGATGGACATCTTTCGTTATCAGAGTGTCTTTACGAAAAAGCCAAGTGGAATATGTCTCAGCGTGTAATTTAACAAAAATTCCTATTATGCAATCATCTAATATGCTTCCTGCTCGGCAGATTGACCATTCCTGTGTTAAACATGCTGCTGAATGAACTCCTGTGTGTGAGCAAAGTGCCGCCAGGGGTGAAACATGTGGACCTGGACCTCTCTACTCTTCCTCCCACCACTGCCATGGCTGTCATCATCTACAACCGCTGGTGAGTGAGATGACTCTCTCCGAAAGCAGCTGTCATGAGCTCAGTGGTAAACTAGTAAAATGGACTATGGAAGTGTTTATTTATGTTTGTATCCAAGTCTTAAACTGTAAATGTAGATTAAAAGAGGATGCATGAATAGAGATTGTGGCAGAGAATTAACCACTCATTTGTCTCATTTATATTGTGTCTGTTAAAGGGCCATCAGAACAATTGTGCTGAGCAGCTTTCCAGAGAAACAAACCAAACCTGGACCCCACCAGATAAACATGTAAGTCCTTCTCCTTCCTCTTCCTCCCTTTTATCACTTATTGCATCCACACTTACATGTTTTTACTTTCAAATTTGTGTTATGCTATGTTACCACCTGCCTACCACTCTGCTCCTGTGCTGGAGTTTTAGCCCCTCAAAGACTTTAAGAAGCACATCTGACGCTGTTTCAGTTTTAAATCTCTGGGATTGTGTTTTTGTGTGGCCAGCCAGACATTCAGACTTCTGAAAACATTCAGACATTGTTCTACCCACATTCATTTGCTGATTGGCTTTAATTAGTCACAAAATATTAATCTAAAATTCTCATTGAGACAGATCACTTTCATCTTATTTTAAAATGAAAATATTTTATTTTGTAAATATACACAATAAATAAAAAATGTACTGCTCATCTAATTCTTTGTAAAAATACCAACATCCAGGCTTAATTTTGCAAATTAAGTGAAAAATAAATCATGTATTCCACTGAATGCTTCTGTTGTGCCCTGATTTAGGTTGAATATTGTACAGCAGGAGAAAGAAATGACTGAAAACATCCTCACTGTGGTGAGTAAGCACCTTTTTTTTATGATCCATACATACTCTGTGAGTACATAAAACTATACCTTAATAATTATATTATTAGACATGTCATTTAAATTTCAGATAAACTAACAGCAGAAGTTGATACTATTTTTAAAATGTTTTATTCCTTCAGCTAAAGGAGCAGGCGGCTGATTCCATCAGTGTGCTGGAAGGAGCTGTGAGACTGAAGAAAGACTTCTACGTTCACACCATGAGGACTCTGGACCTGCTGGCCGCAGACACTGCTGCCAACGGAGAGACAGAGTCTTCGACCGCAGGGCTTCGCATCAGCGCCGATGAGCTGCACTGCCAGGTTGGCTGAGTGCACAGCGCTGTCTTTCTAGAACTAATCCTTCTGGAAAAAAAGTGAATTTTTCTTTGGAGTAATAGAAGAATTTGTGTTTCAGGTGCATTATGATTTAGGAGGCATTTTCTTCCATCAAGGCTGCACAGACCTGCCAATCTATGAGAAAGCTCGGGATCACTTTAGACAGACAAAGGAGCTTTTAAAGAAGGTAATCATATTTTATCACAGCTTCAATGACACAGTATGATTTAACTTTCTCAGGAGAGCCACAAGATGTAACTTTTCTCACAAAAGCTGCTGACATGGAGCTTTAGCAGTGGTTCAGTTGACCTTTTTCTCTACGCCTTTTAGCTAGACTCAACGGTTCATGTTCACCTGGATGAGAAGCGCCTGGCTGGATACTGGAACGCCTGTAGAGCTTTGACTGGAGACTGTGACCCCTCTGACCCCCAGACGACACCCTACGACCAGATTAACAGCCTGATCCGGGCTCACAACTACCCGGTCAGAGCAAACACATTGGAGAGATTTGAGTACTGCATTCTTATGAGTGTTGTGTTGCTTAGGCAGAAGTAGGTTGACATCACAAATAGGGGGCAAAAACAGGTTTGTAAACTCCACTTTAATTCTCTGCAGGCCGTCATTGAAGCCTTCATCAAAGACAACATAACGCGTAGTTTGCCAAACCACTTCAGACGGTCTGTTCTCCGGGAGTTCTTGTATAAAGTCCAACAAGGGTGAGGAAACAACAAAATCAAACCTCTCTGCACGCACTGCAGCTAGCACAGACTTCAGACTTCAGTCACTGATCCACAGAGTGTTGTTATGGTCTGTTCTTTCACTCATTCTACCTGTGGAAATACAGTTTCTGCAGTCCTTGTGGACCACTTTGCAAACCACAAATTTTCACCTTTAAGCCCACAGCTGGAATCGGTTAACACGTGAAGCTGATGTATGTCATTAAATAGTCAATAGTTTTGTTAAAAGGTCATGTAAAAGCATTTTATGCATTCATATTTTTGTATAACATCCCATCTCCCTGCAGGGAATCAGGCCTGGATGAGGTGTGTCACAAACTCTGTGTCTGCAACGCCGTCCGCGACACTCTGGAAGGAGAGATCCTCAGCGTGCGTTTTCAGCAGCTGCTCCTTAAGCCTAGCAAACAAGTGGTGGACTTCATTTTAGAGGTAACTCAGTAAATTGTGACCTGTGGTTTTTACTTCAGTATTATATTAAGAACAGGTTTTTTTCATGTAGTAAAAGTTGTTTAAAGCCACTGCAGATTAGAGTCAGACTTTGTTTGTCCTGCAGGTGTGCACACGCTCGCTGGAAAAAGACCGTCCATCTGAGGCGTCCAGAAGAAACATGGCTAATTTCTTGAAGTGAGTCAGAGTCACTGTTTTCCATGCATTGGACAATTTTATAGGAGGTTATCAAGGGTCTGCTACAGAGATGATGTCGGGCAACAATACATTATTCAAATTCTTTACTTGATGATGATGATGAAGACTTTGTCTTCCTTCTAAACCTGTTATGGTGCAGGACTCTGTGTGAAAGCTTGGAGGACCTGTCTCTGGTGTTTGTGGTGTCATCCCATAAGCTCTTCATGGAGCTGCTGAAGGAGGAAGAGAGGAAGGTCCTGGTGGAGCAGATGAGGAAGAGGTCGGCCACAATCAACCTCAGTGCCAAACCTCTGCCTTCCTTCTACGACATTCCAGGTACGTGGCCGAGACTTCTGCTACATAACACTGCCGCTTCTCCACGTGAAAACCATGAGACATATTGAGGTTTGGTTCACTTCTTCACAGCTTCAGCTAGTGTGAACATTGGCCAGCTGGAGCAGCAGCTCATCCTTTCACTGGAGCCACGCAGGATCAGACAGATCCTCATTGAACTCCACGGCCTGGCTGAACGACCTTTCTGGAGGGTCAACAGCAAGGTCAGAGACATGAGCTCAACATTAATGCATTTAAGATATCTTGGATTGTGCTTGACTACAGTTTCTCACATATACATATACACACATTTGGATACATTTTCAATCCTTACTTCTAACACATGAAACCAACCAAGATGATCTGAATTAACCTACCACTTCCTGTTTACATGAACAGTGGGAGGTTCCTCCAGACTACATTAATGTGATCCTCGGCATTAAAGACAACCTGACCAAGGACCTGGTTTATATCCTCATGGCCAAAGGACTCCACTGCATTTCAATAAAGGTCTGAGCCATTATCAACGCTCAGTGGGGCATAAATGTTATTTTAATAATTAATCGTTGTTATCCAATCATAGAGCATCACTTTTAACTGCTTAATACATGGAGCATGTTTTCCTCAGGACTTCGCTCATGCACGGCAGCTTTTCTCAGCCTGTCTGGAGCTCGTCACAGAGTTTTCCCCGAAGCTGAGGCAGGTGATGCTGAATGAGATCTTGCTGCTGGAGGTCCGCGCACACGAGGCGATGGCGGCCGAGGGGAGCAAGGAGCGGCCGCCCTCTGACTTGGTCAGCAGGGTCAGAGGTTACCTGGAGATGAGGATTCATGGTGAGTGAACAGCAGCGAGTGGAGTCACTCCAGTGTCAGCGTCTTCAGTTTAAGTCTGTGATGGGAGAAAATCATTGTGGATCAGGCTTCATATACTACTATAAAATCTATTTCTAGGGCCCCAGTAAACAAATGTACTAAACTAATGTCACTTACAAGAATTTGTAAGTTACAGATCTGGTCTTGCAGCTAGAAACATTTGTTAAAAAAAAAAATACACTATTAGGATACTTCTGCAAGAGTAGCATGTGTCTCACTGTAAAAATAGACGTATGTCTGCTTTCCATAAACACTTCAGTTACTGATGAAGCAGAATAAACAGCTTCTTTGTTATATAGCACCAATTCTGGAGGTGCAGTGAAGGATTTCCTGGTCTTTGTTTCCAGATCTGCCTCTACGTCAGGTGGTGGGAGAGGAGTGTGTCGCCTTCATGTTGAACTGGAGGGAGAACGACTACCTGACTCTGCAGGTGTCACCGTCTCTGGTCATGAACAACCCGTACATCAAGGTAACACGTCTGTGTGCTTCTTTTTTTTTAACACTTTCATGAAATTTTCTCTTTCTAGCAGCTCCAGTGATGCTATTTCTGATATTCACCAGCATTAAATTATAGCAAAGTTATCGACACAGTATCTGACTGTCTGTGAGGTTTAAGGCTATTTAAATCCCAGCTGAGGCAGCTGAGACACTCTTCTGCAACTCAGAAGTCACAGCTCTATAAGAAAACTAAAAATCTTGAGTGATTACACAATGAACTAATTAATAAGTTGGTTTAAATTCATTTAAAAATAAGTTGTGGTACCAGATCCACTTAAATTTTTCCACCAAGACACATGAAAGTCTGAGAGAGAGTATTTTCTCTCAGGATTGATTAGGTACTGTGGGATTTCCAATAAATTACAATGCGATGTCTCGAGAACAAGGCAATGTAGGATTTTGAAACAGATACCATAGGTGTGTCTAGCGGTCGCCAGTATTTTTGCATTTTTCTTTATTAAATTTGTCCCGTTTTGTCCCGATAGCTTGGCCAGCTCCTGGCATCCACGTGTAAGGAGCTTCCAGGTCCTAAAGAAAGTCGGCGCACCGCCAAGGAGCTCTGGGATGTGGTGGTTCAGATCTGCAGCATCTCCATCCAACACAAGAGGAACAGCGACGGCCGAATTGGCCTCATTAAACAGAGAGAGTCCTCCATGGGCATCCTGCACCGGTATGTTGTCATTTTAGGATTTCATAGGAGAAACATTACAACATGTCTGAGATTCATGTTGCGTCACACTTATTCTGTTTTCTTAATGTGACTCCTCCAGGAGCAAATTCATCACTTTCACCAAGAAAATTAGAGTAAGTATCACCACATACCAACGTAAACACACTGTGGAAGTATAAAATGTTTAAATTAGCTGTTTACCTCGTGATTTGTCTTATTCTTACAGGAGCCGCTGGTGCTGACGACTCTGATCTCACTGTTTGTGAGACTCCACAGTATAGTCAGGGTATGACTCTGAATTCATAAATAGAACACAGTGAAATGGAAAAATTGAGGGATTTCAGTGCTGCTGTAGTTTCTGTCTGCATCTTCAGGCCCTTGTTTCTTCTTCTTTAGGATGACATTGTAAATGAAGTTACTGCAGAACATCTCTCCATCTGGCCATCTTCTCTTCCAAAGTAGGAACGACTTTTCTATTTTACCTCATCTGTTTGTTTTAGCTGCACCAACTGTTTCTGCTACACTGCACTGGTCGGGCTTAGTTACAGGACCGACACACAGGGATCTCTTTTCCTGTCCTCAACTCCTACAAGCTGAGAGATATCTTTTGAAGCTTGTTTCAACTACTGAAAAAATAAGAAATAAGAATTTGAAAGTTATTTTCTCAGAATTTTGAGTTGAGTGAATATCTGTGGTTTGGACTAGTTTGACTCCTGCTTGTACATTGTCATTTTACTCTTTATTCATCGTGTTGTCGTGTCTTTATTCTTCACACTAACAGCTTATAAGCAGAGGTTACTTTTCTTGTGAAAAAGTTACAGGAAGTACACTGTGCATGAAAAGCTGTCAGGTTATCTGCAGTTACAGATCTGTTTATTACGTTCTTAGTTTAGACTCTACTAGAGCAGCTTTGCATGACTCACAGTTCAGAATAATCCTTATTTGACTTGTACTGATGCTCCTCAGTTCATCCTCTGTGTGAACCAAGCTGTTTTCATTCCTTTGTCGTCAAGCCAACTTTCTTCTGATTGGCTAGCCTTCACAAACAGTTTGATATTAGGGGATATCATCTCTCTCTGACATCATAAACAATCAAAAGCAGCTGCACTTTGACTGTAACTGTTAATATGAGAGGACATAAGGAAAAACATCCCCTTTAACAGCATGTACACAGCGCGAAAAACTCTAAATGTTCCGATCTGTGTGTTGAGCAGCATACAGGCAGTGGATGTGGAAGCTGTGGCTGTGACAGTCAAGGAGTTGGTTTCCTATGCTCTCACTCTAAACCCCAATAACCAATCATGGCTCATCACACAAGCCGACATTTACTTTGGTAAGAACAATCACCACATCGCATCAACTCAGAGAACTTTCTTCACTGAATCAGTGAAATGTTGTTATTGCTTAGACAAAGGCTGACGTTTTTCTACCAATGTACTTGACGTTTGGACAGAAAGGAAAAATAAGATTGAAGTGACTTAAAAAAAAAATAAAAAATATTCACAGCAATTGCGAAACATTCCCTTAAGAAAGCATTTTCAGACAGAGCCACCCACAGCTTGAATAACAACTTTCGTTTCTCCCTTTGTAGTGACCAATCAGTACTCTGCAGCTCTGAACCTTTACCTGCAGGCTGGAGCTGTGTGCTCGGACTTCTTCACCAAAGCCGTCCCCCCCGACATCTACACTGACCAGGTAAAACACAGAGACTAATACCAGAGTGCACTCCATAGTGAACCTATGCAGTTTGAGAGATATGAGAGCCGACTGACTCGCCTAACAGTGACACACCTGTTTTTATTTTAGGTTCTGAAGAGGATGATTAAATGCTGTTCAATGCTGAACTGCCACACACAGGTCAGAGGTCAAACTGCCTATTTGAGAAAGTGAACTAATGTTAGCTGCTGAGGAATTAATGAACATTGTTGGATTGATGCAGGTGCCTATTTTGTTTTGCTGTTTTCTGTCACTTTGTTTTCCCCAGTATAATTTCATGAATAAAGAAAGAAAGCTCCTCGTCCCTTCTTTGAACCTTTAGAACAAAATCAATATAACAGTATAATAATGATAGACCCTGATGAGAGAAAAAAAATATATATCAGCTTTATTTGCTGATGAGAGTCAATAAGGCAAATCAACCAATACCATTGTTTACCTCATTATTCCGTGCACCTCTGCTAAAGTATAAAGCCGACTGTAAGTGTCTCAGTGCTGACTGGCGTCTTACAGATGTAGCGAGTTGGAAGTAATGTGACATCTCTGATTCTCGTCAGGTTGCTGTTCTGTGCCAGTTTCTGAGAGAAGTCGACTACATGACAGCGTTCAAAGCGCTTCAGGAGCAGAACAGGTACGGCCCTGGAGGACACATTACATTACCCACAGAGCCATTCT